GGTACTGAGCCATGTGGCTAATGTAGATAAAGATAATGGGGTAATATATGTTACAAGAGCTAATAAGTAGCCAGAGCTAAGGGCCAATCAGTTTATAATCTTATGGAGTCTTGTGTGTGATTTTCCTCGGGGTATGCCGGCTGTGGGGTACTGGGTGGGACAGAAACCCCAACAAGCTAGCCGGCCCTCATGTTACATATGGCGCCTACGTGGATAACTGATTCCACAGAAAGCCTGAGAAAGCTTGGGAAAGAATAGAGTACAGCATATTTTCTTGGCGGCAGCAATTTCTTGGGTCTGCTGTGCTTGCTAGAGGCAAGCAAGCGCTCTCATCTAAGAGAGGCTTCCTGACTCAGCTTTAGCTTCAAAACCTTGCAGCTCTTTAAGAGGTCCTTCCACGAAACACTTAAACGGTGCTGATGAAAAGCTGAATGCATGCTTTTCGTGTTTTCAGCTGTAGCAGGAAAAAAGCTGTGCTTTTTTAAAATGCTGGCTTTCTGGGCTGTCCTGCCAGGGCAAACTCTGATTCTTTTAGGCAGGCAGTCTGACTGAGTGTGGTCTGTGAGCAGAATGCTGCAGCTTGCTTGCTGGCAGGGACCTTGAAACACTGTAGAGTTGTGACATAAAAATGGCTCTGGTGATACTTCTGCCATGAGGCTGGAACGCTAAAGAATAGGTTGGATCTAGCCGTCAAAGCCACGGCTTTCCATATTGCTTTGTAAATTAAAGGCTCATGTGGTCAGAAAAAGAGAGATATACAGTAAAGAGAGATTCAAAGAGGAAGAAAATCTCTAAATGGTTTACTATGTGTTAAAAATATATGCAGGCTAAAAGTTAAAGTTCTTAAAGTTAAAAAGAAAGAGAGAAGTAGGGTGTGGTGGTACACACCTTTAATCCCAATGCCTGGGAGGCAGAGGTATATTGACCTCTGTGACTTCAAGGTGTGGTAGCACACACCTTTAAATCCAATGCCTGGGAGGCAGAGACAAAAGGATCTCTGTGAGTTCAAGGTGTGGTAGCAAACACCTTTAATCCCAGCACTGGGGAGGCACAGGCAGAGGTATCTCTGTGAGTTCAAGGACAGCCTGGTATACAGAGTTATTCCAGGACAAAGATATACAGAGAACCTGTCTCAAAAAGTAAAAGTAAAAGTAAGAGAAATAGAGGTTAAAATAAAGCCACATAAAGACAAAAAAATACACAGAGAATCTTGATACTGTATGTTATTATGCTCTCTTTAAATTGTTTGAGTGCTGAAGAAGGAGCAACAGCTACTAAAAGACTTTTGTTTATAAATGCTGCTGAACTAATCCAAGATAGGTATTTTGAAAATACCTTGGCTTTAAAACTGAAGTCAAAAGGTATGTTACTTTGGAGAAGAGATTTTGCTTTTGTTTCCACAGAAAATGAGAGACGGTGGATCCATTCTGAGTTAAGAAAAATCCAGTTTGACAAAGGACAACCACCCGAGAAATCCCCGGTAGGAACAGATGGCCCAGATGTCTAAGTTCTACATCCAGAACTGATTCAAGACTGCTGCCTGAGATGATTGAGACTCACAGGATACTTCAGTCAGGAATTGATTATAACTCTAAATTTTCTTTAGGTCCCCATAAGATTATCAGCGCCCCCAATGAGCAGGAAGTAGCCTGGAATACTATGCCCACATTCCCAACAAATGGACTATGGGTATTTTCCTTTGTTAAAAAAAAAAAGAGGGAAATGGTGCGGGAGAATTATCTGTATTCTGTCAATCATGTATTTTAATAAAACGCTGATTGGTCAGGCAGGAAGTATAGGTGGGAAAACCAGACAGGAAGTAGAGGTGATGCAATGAGAACAGGAGAATTCTGGGAAGCAGGGAGCTCCCTCTGCCATTCCTGCACAGACCACCGAAGAGGCAGCATGTAACTTGCCCAGCTGAGAAAGGTACTGTGCCATGTGGCTAATGTAGATATGGATAATGGGGTAATATATGTTACAAGAGCTAATAAGTAGCCAGAGCTAAGGGCCAATCAGTTTATAATCTTATGGAGTCTTATGTGTGATTTTCTTTGGGAATTGCCGGCAGTGGGGTACTGGACGGGATAGAAACCCCAACAAGCTGGCCGCTCCTGTTACACCTCTCCCTCACTGCATCCACCGTTCACACAGCACAGCACAGCACAGAAGGAGTGACTGCCCCAGGCCTATGATGTCAATAAAAAAATGAGAAATCAGAGGCACTCATGAAGGTGCCCTAATCTTCCAAGACCCTTTCCAGAAAGCTCACCTTAGGAAGTAGAGTAGGAATTCCTTGTCTATTCCACCTGGGGTAGGACAGAAACAAAAAGGCAGAGACCATAGAGACCAGCCTGTGTGTCTCAGTGGTACCTCAGTGTGCCTGCCACATATGCCAACTCCAAAGGTCATCCCTGACATTGATTCACTTGCCTTCTCTATCAGGAGAGGAGGTTCAAAGATACCTCGAGTACTTAGACTGTTGTTTCCAGTCCTACTTCTGAGTGCACCCTACTAAGCTCTCCCAAAGAGGAAAAATGCTACCTCAGCCAATTCCCCCAAAAATGTTGGGAATAGTAATGCTTGACTTGAGAAGTACAAAAGACTTCATTTATCCATACAAGATGACCCTGCAACCTGGTCTGGGCAGGTAGTTGTCCGCCTCTCTGGACCTCAGATGAGCAAAGTTTTGTCCTTTAATAATAAAATAGAAGTTGAACTCTGGAAAAATATTAAAACGGTGGGATGTGGGCTAGAATGAGGACTTGTAAGAAGCACTGGCTGCTCTGTCAGAGGCCCAGGGTTCAATTCTCAGCATCCATGTCTATAACTCCCATTCCACAGTTTCTCATGCCCTCATATAGATATACATGCAGGCAAAACACCAATGAGGATAAAATAAATATAATTAATTAAAAATATACTACCCCCTGGCTGTTATACTAAGAGACTACCACCCCAATTGCTACTATAGGAGAAACCAAGCAACAGCTACAATAATCTAGAAAAGAGCTGGCCAATAACTCAATCCAGGTATAGGGCCTCCCTCCTTCTCAGGCTCCAGGACTGGGGGAGTTAGTACTACTTGGCTGGGGAAGTTAAAAAAAAATTTCTCTTAACTTGAAAGGTTATACAACAGCTCCACCCTGATAGTTAGATTCCCACCTCTGCATACTTTAGCGAAGGAGCCAGGCTTAATATATTTAGGGGGGAAGGATCAGATAAAAACTCAGTTTAGGCGGAATCACACCTATAATCTGTCTTGCCTACAAAATACACTAGGACAATGGAGACACAAACCTTGTGGGAGTAACCAACCGATGTCTGATTTGAATTAAGGCCTACTCCATGAGATGGACACTGCCTAGTCAGTCATCCTCATGAACTTAGATCATGAAAACAAGCAAGTTCAACAGAACTTCCATATGTGGGCTGCCCATGCATGCCTCAGCATCACCAGAGCATAAAATTAATTTTTCATTCATTTCCATGAGATGGAATCCATACCTCACACTGCTTAAGTGTCCAGAAGTCCAGACGGTTAGGATAAAACCAAGTATTCTTGTTCTTGGCGGGGGGGGGGGGGGAGGAGTAACAATTAAATGACTCATAATGATATTCTGCTGTACTCATGGATCAGTAGCTTAATCAGCCATCATCAGAGAAGATCCCTCATGTAACAGCTGGGAGCAAAAATAGAGACCCACAGCAAGACATTACACAGAGAGACCTTGGAACACACAGCTCTCAGTGAGATGTCTCCATCCAATCCCTCTAGTCAGAGCTCAGGGAACCTCATGGAAGAGAGGCAGAAGAGGTCGGGGAGAAAGAAGGAATGGAGGACCCCCAAAGAACAAGGCCTGCTACATCACTCAGCAAAGCTCATATGAACTGACGAGGCTGAAGCAGTCTGCACAGGGCCTGCATGGACCTGCACCAGGCCCTCTGAACAGACACCATAGCTTCCTGTCTAGTAATTTGTATATTTATTTTTTTTATTTTTATTTATTTATTTTATTTTATTCATTTTTTTTTTCTTTTGGTTTTTCGAGACAGGGTTTCTCTGTGTAAGAGTCCTAGATGTCCTGGAACTAGTTCTGGTAGGTCTGACTGGCCTCAAACCCACAGAGATCCACCTGCTTCAGCCTCCCGAATGCTGATATTAAAGCCATGCACCACTATCACCTGGCTACCATGTAGTGCCTCTGTGGGACTCCTAAAATTACTAACAAGTGAGTCTCAGATTCTTGTCCTTTCCCTTGTCACTCTCTTTTCTGTTGGCTTGTATTGTCCTATTTTACATGGTGGTGTTCTTTGCTCATTACATTTTATTTTGTTTGAGAAAATGCACCGACTTTGCATCCTCCATATTGTATCAGTGATTCCTGAAATGCAGAAAAGCTGCTCGTCTGCTCCTATAGAGTGCAGCCGACAGAAAATGATGACGGCTTCAAGCTTGGTGCGTTTTCAAAACATCTCCAAAAGCAGTAATATGTACATTGAAGGGTTTTTTTTGTCTCTAAACTATTTTTTAAAGTTGCCACACAGAATATTCAGTGGTATTCTGGCATTTTTCAGATGTTTTCTTTTCTGTTTATTCCACTCTCCCAATACCCTGCCTTGCCCTCTGTATGTCCTCTTCCTACCCCTGGACATCTTCATCCTACGCCTTTCTGTCTTCATGTGGAATATCTATCATTACTTACTGGTTTTGTTTCTCCTAAGGAAAATTTTCTTTGTCCCTTTCCTTTCTAATTTCATGATCTTGCCATGCACACAGAGGAACACATACATACATAGTTAAACTTAGATTGTAGCTTCGAATGTATATGCGATATTCTCACAGGTATACACAGCCATATCAATAGAGAACCAATAGAGATTTGTTTCCTAATTAGTGAGTTGGTACAAAACAATTCTCTAACCCAGGAAGAAATTCCATATGCAGTGAGGTAAACGATAAATCACAGCTCGGTAAAGAATTTCTCTTTTCTTGGCCAAACCAAAGGCTCTCTTCATGTGCTAAAGGAGAAATAGCATACCTTGGAAAGTGATTTTCCCTGGTGGCAGTTGATCCCACCAATGTGGACTATGTTGGGCATCATAGGTGTAGGGAAATCCAACACAAAGTCAGTGCGTAACAACCAAATGGACACTTGACTGAAGAGGTCTTCCATAGTCACTGGGGTCTGGAGAACTTCAGAGGCAATGTCTGTAGCAGTTTTGAAAAAATAGGGGCAAAGTGCACGCTCCTCCATATAGGTGATGTGGTTCCACACTCTCTCCGTAAAAGTCATGGTGTCTGCGAATTTCGAGAGAATTCTGGGAACATAAGAGAGGGGTCTGGGGCATTGAGTGCCCTCTTCAAGATAGTGACAAAATATACCTCTTGCAAAGACCACGGATGGGACCGACAAGTACTTGGCAACAGTCAAGCCGCACACATCGAAAGGATCCAGAAACACAGCATCAAAAGAACTCTGCTTCAAGTACTCCACTAACTTCTTGTCGTTAAACAAACTCCTACAGTTTGAAAACATTAATTCGAAAAAACCTTTGGCTGAGCCTGTCATTAAAGATAGCATACTTTCTTCTGGAGTTTTCCATTTAGTATCAGAATAATACTTGAACTCCCGGTTTAAATCCTCTAGGGTGTGAGAAATTGAGTACGTCTTCACAGTAATATTCAGGGATTTTCCTAGTTGCCAACTCACCTCTGGCACGACTACCACCACCTCATGTCCATTGTGGATGAGCTTCTCCACAACTGACTGCATGGTGAACCAGTGGCTCCCGTCCATGGGCACCACCAGCAGCCTGCCTGCCTGGGCAAAGCCAGAGGCCAGCAGCAGACACACACACAGAGGAAGGGAGGCTGGAAAATCTGCAGGAGCCATGGGAGAAGCTCAGCCTGTGACAATCCAGCTGATGAGAATCTGAGCACTTCGGACAAAGGCGGAAGTATGACTCAGTTAAATCTGCTCCCTCAAGAGGGCATGTACTTGTACCATTAAGAAACAACAATCCCTGACAATGATTTACTTGGAGAACAGTATTCAGTGATCAAATATTATGAGGCACACTTGCTTGTATTCCAGATAAGATTTTTCTTGGGCATAGTCAGACAATATGAGTTTAGAAATAGTTCCAAAGAAATATCCTGACCCTAAGGAGTCCAAAAGTTTTCACCAAAGGAAGCAAGTTTCAAAGAATCTTGCATTTCTAGAGCAGTTCTCAAAGCAAAAGCAGACTGTGTTCTCAAGCGATTGGCTGCTTGCCACTGGGTCAAAGCCTAGAGGGAGGGTGCTTAGCCTGGTCTCTCTCACAGACAGTGGTTAGAAACAACTCTGCCAGTTGAGCAATGCTGCTGTCTTGGCGCATGTGCAGTAGAATTCTTGTTCCACTTCCCAGCACTGTGTGTTCTCTGAATTGCTGACATAGGGTGACCAGCATCTGCAGTGACCACTCCAGGGATTTAAAGAAAGGTAACCACCATTCCTCTTACAATGTCCCCCTGGATGCATCTGATGCTGTAGACAGCCCATATTCTATACAGAGGCTGGGAGCTAGGTAGTGTTCCTTGTCAGTTACCCAAGACCTTCTCCAGTGATCCATACATTTGTCCCCTTGTCAATGCTGCATCTGGGGGTTTGCTTCCTCCTTGTGTTTACAGAAAATGCTGCTGTCACCCACACCTCACGCAGGGTTTTCCTCGTAGGAATTGGTTTCAAGTCCTTTCCCTGTACATCCGGGATTAAGACAGCTTGCTCAGATGGAAACTGTGGTGTTCACTGTGGACAAGCATCAGGCAGCTCTACAGGGCGCTGTTGTTATGACCTGCTGGCCTGGTCTGTCACCTGGGTATCCTGTCACTCTAAGGGACAAGCTCTCCCACCCCCAACTTCCCTGTCTCCAGAGAGGAGTGGTTCCCACAGAACCAGGAGGAGCTGATGTTGGGCTTGGTTCTGGGGCAGAAAAATGAGTCAGGACATAATGACAGTGTATCCAGTGCAGTTATTATAAACTTTTTATTGATTTTATTGAGCTATGCATTTTTCTCTGTACCCCTCTCTTCCTCTCTCCTTTCCTTCAACCCTCTCCCATGGTCCCCATGCTCCCAATTTACTCAGGAGATCTTGTCTTTTTCTTCCCATTTAGATTAGATCCATGTATGTCTTTCTTAGTGTCCTCGTAGTTGTCCAGGTTCTCTGGGATTGTGACTTGTAGGCTGCTTTTCTTTGCTTTATATTTAGAAACCACTTATGAGTGAGAACATATGATAATATGTTCTCTTTCTGTGTCTGGGTTACATCGCTCAAAATAAGCTTTTCTAGCTCTGTCAATTTTCCTGCAAAATTCAAGATGTCATTATTATTTTCTGCTGTGTAGTACTCCATTGTGTAAATGTACTGCATTTTCCTTATCCATTCTTTGGTGGAGGGGCATTTAGGTTGTTTCCAGGTTCTGGCTATGACAAACAATGCTGCTAGTGAGAATGCAGGCTGATACAGCCCCTTTGGATGTCAGTGTGGTGATTTCTCAGAAAATTAGGAAACAACCTTCCTCAAGACCTAGTAATACCACTTTTGGGTATATATCCAAAGGATGCTCAATAGTGCCACAAGGACATGTGCTCAGCTATGTTCGTAGCAGTATATAACACTCTTGAACATATACCAAAAGGATACCTTATCCCACCACAAGGACATTTCCTCAATACACCGGGTTCATTGTTGTTCTATTTCCCAGAGTTTAAGAAAAAAACCTAGATGTCCATAAACAGAAGACAGGTTAAGGAAAGTGTAATACATTTACATAATAGAGCGTTACTCAGCACTTTAAAAAAAATGTGGTATCATGATGTTTGTAGGCACATGTATAGAATCAGGAAAAATCATCCTGGGTGATGTACCCCAGATCAGTCGAGAAATAGGATATGTATTGACTTCAATTGGATATTGCCATTATAGAAACGATAACCAAGCTGCAATCTATAAACCCAAAGAGGTTAGGCATAAAGGAAGGGAGTAGGCAGGACACGTTGAGAGAGGGAAATAATAAACATTTTATGAGTGGGCTGTATCAGGGAAGGGGACAAGAGCAGGAGTTTCATGTGGGAAGGAGAGGGCAGAGGGATGAGGGTGACTATGGGAGCAGAAACAGCTAGAATTGAAAAACATTTGAGTGGCAGTATGGAAACCTAGGGCAGGACACTGGAAACTTCCTGTAATAAAGATATGAAGGCAATCTTAACGAAATCTCCAAATAGTGAGGGACAGGGAACTGGTAATGTCCATATATTGTCACCAAACTAAGCTTTCTGCTTGGAAATGCTTTTCATCTAATTCAGTTGTTGATCATTCCAAGCGGTTCCGTGGAAATTTCCAAACAAACCAGGCTGTCACCAAAAAATGGGTTGCTCTCCACAAACTGACAAGACACCACTGCTGAAGAAAACTTCCACAACCCATTAGCTCAATGAATATGAACAGTTGAGCTCATGCCTACATCAAACGTTCAGCCTCCTTTTCTAATGTCTATGACATGAAAATGTACTCTGCAGGCTACCAAAAGAGAACAGGAAACACAAAACCAACCACAAAAACTTTCACTTATAATCCGTCTTGCCTACAAAGTATGATACGGCAATAGAAGTGCAAACCTTATGGGAGTAACCATGACTCATAATGATATCCTGCTGTATCATGGATCCCGTGCCTTTGCCAGCCACAATGAGAGATGCAACAGCTGGGAGCAAAAACAGAGACCCACAGCAAGACACTACATAGAGACACCTTAGAACACACAGCTCCCAGTGAGATGTCTCCATCCAATCCCTCCAGTCAGAACTCAGGGAACCCCATGGAAGAGAGGCAGAAGCAGTCAGGGAGAAAGAAGGAATGGAGGACCCCCAAAGAACAAGGCCTGCTAAATCACTCAGCAAAGCTCATATGGACTGACGAGGCTGAAGCAGTCTGCACAGGGCCTGCATGGGCCTGCCCTAGGCCCTCTGAACAGACACCATAGCTTCCCGTTCAGTACGTTCATGGGACTCCAAAATGAGGTAACAAGAGCATCTCTGATTCTTGTGACTTTTCTGCGTGATCTTATTTTTCTGTTTACTTCTCTTGTCAAATTTTGATGTTTTGGGTTTTATTTCATTTTATTATATTTTATTTTATTTGAAAAAGAATTCACCTACCTTGAATCCTACATATCATATCACTAATTTTTAAAATACAGAAAACTGCATGTAGAAAATATAAAATGCACCTGACAAACTTGAGAGCTGCTTTATAGAATAATGCATTTTTTAAACATCTCTGAAAGCCTTAACATACAGCTTCCAGATTTATTGTTGTCTTCTTAAATTACTTTCTAAGTCAGCATACAAAGTGATCAGTGTCATTATGGCAATTTTCAGGCAAGCTGTATTTTACTCCTGATAATTCCCCTCTCCCGCTACCCAGCCTTCCCCTCCATACGTCCTCTTTCTACCGCTGAACATTCTCCTTTCTGTTTCATGTGACATGTCTATCATTACTGCCATTGTTCCTCCTCAGACAAGTTTCTTTGTCTCCTCCCTTTTCCAATTTCATGACCCCAAACACAAATAGAAGGCATACATATATATTTAAAATTAGACTGCATATTAAAATGTATATGCAAATATGTCACAGGTCTACACATATAATCAATAGGGCACCTATAAAGAATTTTTTCCTAATTAGTGAATGGCAAAAAACAATTCTCCACCCAGGAAGAAATTCCCTATTCAGTAAAACAAACATCAAATCACAGCTCAGTGGAGAATTTCCTCTCCAATGCCTGAAACCAGGCCCCTCTTCACGTGCTAAAGAGAGACAACATACCTTGGAAAGTGGCTTTCCATGTTGGCAGTTGAGCCCACCAATGAACACCATGTTCGGCATCACAGGCTTGGGGAAATCTAACACAAAGTCGGTGCGTAACAACCAAATAGACGCCTGGGAGAAGAGGTCTTCCAACGTCACTGGGGTCTGCAGGACTTCAGAGGCAATGTCTGTAGCACTTTTAAACAAGTAGTGGCAAAATGCACGCTCTTCCATGTGAAAAACAAAGTTCGACACTCTCTCCTTGAAAGTCATGGTGTCTGACAGTTTTGAGAAAAGTCTAGGAACATAAGACAGTGGACTGGGACACTGGGTGCCCTCTTCAAGATAGTGGCAAAAGAAATATCTTGTAAACATCACTGAAGGGACCGACAAGTACTTGGCAACAGTCAAGCCACAGATCTCGAAAGGATCCAGAAACACAGCATCGAAAGAACTCTGCTTCAAGTACTCCACCAACTTCTTGTCGTTAAACAAACTCCTACAGTGAGAACATATTAATTCATAATAAACTATGGCTGAGCCTGTCATTAAAGAAAGCATACTTTGTTCCGGCGTCTTCCATTGAGCGTGAGTATAATTCTTGTGCTTCTGGTCCAGGTCCTCCAGAGTGTAAGAAGTTGAGTACGTCTTCATTGTAAAATTCAGGGATTTTCTCAGTTGCCCACTCACCTCTGGCACGACTGCCACCACCTCATGCCCTCTGTTGAGGAGCTTTTCTACAACTGTTAGCGTGGTTAACCAGTGGCTCCCATCCATGGACAACACCAGCAACTTGCCTGCCTGGGCAAAGTCAGAGGCCAGCAGCAGACACACACACAGAGGAAGGGAGGCTGGGAAACCTGCAGGAGCCATGGGAGTAGCTCAGCCTGAGACAATCCAGCTGCTGAGACTCTCTGTTCTTCTAATAGAGCTGGTTGAGTAGAGCCACAAGATCTCCTTCACTGGACACATATATTTCTATGTTTACAAGGGAAGTTAAATTTAGTGCTAATGATTTACTAAAAGAGCAATCATTAATGAACTACATTGGGTAAAGTAACGACTTTGTGCTTTCTAGGTTACAAAAGTATTTATGATTTTTGTCTTGGGAAGATCATGCCTTCTATTGCAAACCTAGTTTTGAAATAATTATGAAACAATGTGCTTGGATTTTAAATTCAGAATAATTAAGAATCTGTGTTTCAGGATCCTCTAAATCCATCACATGCTCATTTGTTCCTCTTAAGAAGGGAAACAAAAAGGAATGCACAGTGAGAGTCATCAAGAAGAGGTAAATAGGGAATTCTAGAGGTCAGAGAAAACCTGGCCTCTCTTTAAAGGTCACACTATAGTACATAGGACAGGTCAGGATCAAATCAACTCTGTATTGCTGCGTGGTTCCATGGATTTGAGAGTGCAGGAGCCTTGACTGACTGGCACTGAGCCTTGGGACTCTGCCTTGCTGTAGGACTTCAGGAAACCAATAACACAGCCATTGTCCCTGTCGAAACAGAAACACTGGCTGTGTTAGATCAGTTTCTGTTATTTCTAGCGCCCTTCCTAAGACAGGATGACTTTTCGTCCTGAGCCTGGCTTTCAGACAGACATCTGGACAGAAGGCAGAAGATGAAGACCTGAACCTCTGAAAGCTGTTGCCTCAATGATGAGGCTCAAACTAAGTTACCTCAGGCACAATGGCCAGGGACTCTGCTTTCCTAGGAACAAAGGGGTCAGAATTTAGGACTTTCTCCTTTTCCCACAGCTCCAGGAAGGGCAGATGTTTGGCTTGGTCGTGGGGCTGAAAAATGAGTCAGGACATAATGACAGCACATCCATTGTGGTTTTTTAAACTTCTTTTAAAATGATTTTATTGAGCTATACATTTTTCTATGTTACCCTCCCTTCCTCTCCCCTTTCATTCTACCCTCGGCCATGATCCCCATGCTCCCAATTTACTTTGGAGTTCTTGTTTTTCTACTTCCCATGTAGATTAGATCCATGTATATCTTTCTTAGGGTTCTCATTGCTGTCTAGGTTCTCTGGGATTGTGAATAGTAGACTGCTTTTCTTTGCTTTATGTCTAAATGCCACTTATGAGTGAGTACATATATATTTATTTTTCTGGGTCTGGGTTACCTCACTAAATATGATATTTCCTTGATCCATCCATTTGCCTGAAGATCTCAAGATGTCATTATTTTTTCTGCTGTGTAGTACTCCATTGTGTAAATGTACCACATTTTCCTTATCCATTCTTCAGTCGGGGGGCATTTTGGTTGTTTCTAGGTTCTGGCTATGACAAACAATGCTGCTGTGAACATAGTTGAGTACATGTGTTTGTGGCGTGATTGAGCATCCTTTGGGTATATACCCAAAAGTAATTTTTCAGGATCTCGATGAAGAATGTTTTCTTATTTTCTGAGAAATTGTTACACTGATATCCAAAGTGGCTGTACCAGTTTGCACTCCCACCAGCAATGCAGAAGTGTTCCCTTTACCCCACAACCTATCCAGCATAAATTCTCATCAGTGGTTTCAATCTTGACCATGCTTACAGGTGTGAAATGAAATCTCAGTGTTGTTTTGATTTGCATTTTACTAATGGCTAAGGATGTTGAGCATTTCCTTAAGTGCCTTTCAGCCATTTTAGATTCCTCTGTTGAGAGTTCTCTGTTTAGGTCTGTATTCCATTTTTTTTATTGGATTATTTGTTCTTTTGATGACCAATTTCTTGAGTTCTTTGTATATTTTTGAGATCAGCCATCTTCTGATGTGGAGTTGGTGAAGATCTTTTCCCATTCTGTAGGCTGCCGTTTTGTCTTGTTGATCCTGTTCTTTTCTTTACAGCAGCTTTTCAGTTTCAGGAGGTCCCATTGATTAATTGTTTTTCTCATTGTCTGTGCTACTAGGGTTCTATTTAGGAAGTAGTCTCCTGTGCCAATGCATTCAAGCGTACTTCCCAATTTCTTTTCTATGAGGTTCAATGTCATTTGCTTTATGTTGAGGTGTTTGACCCATTTGGACTTTTGAGTTTTGTGCATGATGATAGATATTGGTCTATTTTCATTCTTCTACATGTTGATATCCAGCTATTCTGGCACCATTTGTTAAAAATGCTTTCTTTTTTTTCATTTCATATTTTTTGCTTCTTTGTAAAAAATTAAGTATGTTGATCAATATCTGTGTCTTTGATTCAATTCCATTGGTCCTCCTGTCTGTTCATATGCTAATACCAGGCTATTTTCCATACTGTAGCTCTGTAGTAGAGTTTGAAGTCAGGGTTTGTGATGCCTCCAGAAGTTCCTTTAGTGTACAGAAGTTTTGTTTGTTTGTTTGTTTTTGGTTTTTTTTTTTTGGCTATCCTGGCTTTTTGTTTGGTTGGTTTTTGGTTTTTTTGTTTGTTTGTTTTTTGCCCTTTCAAATGAAGTTGAGTGCCACTCCTTGGAGGTCTGTAAAGAATTTTGCTGGAATTTTGAAGGGCATTGCATTGAAACTGTAGATTGCTTTTAGCAAGACTATCATTTTTACTATGTTATCCTACCCACTCAAGAGCATGGGAGATCTTTCTATTTTCTGGTGTTCTCTTTAATTTTTTTCTTCAAAGATTTAAAGTTCTTATTATACAGGTCTTCCACTTGTTTGGTTAGAGTTACTCCGAGATATTTTATGTTATTTGTAGCTGTTGTGAAAGGTGATGTTTTTTTTTAAATTTCTTCCTCAGCCCATTTATTATCTGTGTAAAGGAGGGTTACTGATTTTTTCGAGTTAATCTTGTATCCTGCTACATTATTGAAAGTGTTTATGAGTTGCTTAAACTTTTTGGTAAAGTTTTGGGGGTTGCTTATGTAAACTGTCATATCACTATCAGCAAATAATGAGAGTTTGACTTCTTTTCTGATTTGTAGTTGTATAATAGATAAATTAGTGTGAACTTATTCACAATAATAATAATAATAATAATAGTGGGTAATAGTGTAAATATTTGTGAGCTATTATTTGTGGATAATTTACATTGGTATGGTTTTTGTATATTGATACAAGTTCAAATTATATTTGTTATTTCTGTTTATAATATTTGTACACCTATGCAAAGTTATTTTGTCAGATTGTATGCATGCATGTTTTTACCTCTCTTTAAGACATTTTGTATACTGGTACAATATTAGGATATATTTTCATATTATATTATATAGTCCTACCTCTGATCAAGATACTTATACATCGTTTACATTTTGAGGTCATTTTCCTCATTACTGCACAGATGTTTTCAGATTATTTAATATTCTGATATAAAGTCTTAGTCTTTAAGTTATACAGGTACTAAGTATTATATTATAGTTATTCATATTTGCTATACATAGAGTCAGATTAAATAGGTTCTTTAGATATATAAAGATGGCATTCTGCCTAAATAGGTCATCTTCAACCACTTCAAGGATCTGCATAACATGGCATTTAAATAGCTCAGGGTTTTGGTGATGTGAGACACAGATGCTCCTGACAGCACCAATCTATTCCCAAGAGAATGTTGAGTACTGAAGACACTCCACTAGGAGTTTGTTTTCTTGGCACAATTGACCTTTGGGCAAGGAACTGCCCATGTCTTGACCACTGACAAATACATGGTGTCCGGACTGGATGAGCAGGACACACCCACACACAAAGACTGCCAAACCTTGCCAAGGCAGGGTAAGGCAGTTCTACAAATGTTGCTGCCTCTAAAAATGGTCTGTCAGTTATACTAGGCCTTAGCCAAATTGGTTGATTCAATATTATAAATGAGATTTTGGGTATACACTTAGGTAGCCAATTATCTCTGTCATGTACTGCACTCTTGGAAAGTTGTTCGATTGCACTTCCTGCCTACTCAAGTTATATTATCTTCTTTCTCAGGCCTTTGATGGGGGTAAACATTAAAGAGTCTTAGTTAGCTCTTATAAATTAGCCAAGCCATTTCTGTTGCAAGACTTAGACTCTTTATAATAGTATGTTTATTAAACATTTAACATGAGTTCCTTGCTTAATATTATTTATGTTGGTTGCAATTTTTTACTTGATAACTGGTCCTATTGTATATAGTTTTGTAATGGGTTTGGAACTCTCTTATTTAGACAAAAGAGGGAGGTGATGGGGAATCTCTGTCAGCCAATGAACTTTAAGAGTTGGGACAAAGTTAGGGATGAGACCTTTTAGGTACCAAAAGAAAAACACCTGAAGGCCCAGGAATCAATCAATCTCTCTCTCTCTCTCTCTCTCTCTCTCTCTCTCTCTCTCTCTCTCT